TATTAAAATTCCTAAAAATATGCTGTTTCCATTTAATATATGGTTGTATTTCATTCTAATTACACCTAAATATGCTTAAATTTTTTGTAAATCTAATATCAAAGAACAAGAACAATCTTACAAACAAAATTCATACTGATAAGATCTTTATTATATTTCCTATAATCCTTACATTCCAAGAATTTACAAACTAAATATTTACTGGTCAGATTTTCGAATCTTAGGTTATGTTAATTACATTCCTTACAATTTCTAGAGCAAAAAAATCTTCGAATTGATTTCATTTAATGTTTAATTCGCAAAGGAAAAATAAAACTTTTAACCAACCTAATTTAAATAAACGTTTTTCACAACAAAGTTTTTCGTTCCACAGCAAACAATTCCTGGTAGAGAAAATTAAAAAAAAAACTTTTGTGGGCGAATTGAAATTCACACCCTTCGCCACACACACAAATGTAAAGCAATCCAAGAAATTATCTAAGGCATACACCCACCACCACCACAACAATGTTAGTTGATTTTGTTCTAAGGAAAACAAATCACAATCATTTAAAGAAGAAAAACAAGAAATGAGAAAAACTATTTAAAAACACCTACAGGCATCCATGGAGGGTTTTCACTACGAAAGAGTTGGTTTCACTTAAACATTTCACACTTTTAACGTTTGAGGCGATATTCTTTTTTGTTTGTGTGCATTTTCCCGAGTAAAGGCAAACAATTCAAATGACAATATTTGGCAAAAAAACAAAACGCACACACAGCTACACTAACAAATGTTTATTGTCTGTCTGGTGGATGTTAAGCTTCAACTGTAATACTACTACAGTTACTCTTTGTTATACTAACTGCCAAAGTTTCATTTGCAACAATAGAAACGCCTAAAATCATGCCACACCGATATGCACACAAAACATTTTACGAAATCGTCTGATAGTAGAAGAATCCTAGATTTCGGCTTAAGGCTAAATAACTGTAATGGTAGCACGGTGTGATGGCTATTGCAATGATGAACGAATCGTAAAGGCGATTTTCTCACTACTAAAGAGGTGGGGCTGAAAATTTACAAGGAAGGTGGAACTAATAATTGGCTCAAAATATACAAGGAAGACACTGCAATATTTGAATTGAACTTTTCTAGAGTTGGGAAATTTAGTCCACGGAGCGGATCATTCTCGTTTCTTTTTTAAAAAGGATCTAGTTTGTTAATACAGTTCCTATTCCTAGATATTTCCTTTGAATCTTTCTCTCTTTCAATATTCTGTTGTTGATTTTAGTTAATTTATATTTATTAAAATATTCAGAAACTTCAGAATTGCGATAAAAAATATTAATTTTATAAAATAATAAATAATAATAAATTGACGAGCATATGTTTATATGGAATGAATGATGAATATGGGAATAAAAAAAGGAGATCAGTAATGGGAGGATTTTGTGGGAATCAACATAGAAAGATGTTGATTTTCATATTTGCTACTAGTCCTTATTCATTGTTTGATCCAGTGTAGGTCGTAAAGCTATGCAGAGGGTGCAGTTTGTGAATGATCAGTCCCGAACTGCTTTGATTACTACTAAGGGTGTAGGTCGTGAAGCTATGCAGAGGGTGCAGTTTGTGGATGATCAGTCCCGAACTGCTTTGATTACTACTGAGGGTAGTTTCGACTGTGACCCCAAACGCATGGGTGTCAGGGGCCACAATGTCAATGGATTTAGCCTGGCAATTTGAAAAACCAGGTTCCTTACACATTGAAAGGCCTCTCATCCAAAGAGGTGAACACGTCCATATACGTGTGATCGATTGGCACTTTTGTAGTTAACTGCCGTTGTTTCACAGAACATTACTATCGTTGGATAGAAGCATTCGATATTACATGCAAACCTGGTCATAAAAACGGTGTGTTCTTCTTGGAGTCCAAACATTTCAAATGATGCTCAAAAAAAAAGACTCGTAAATAATCTGGGTGCTATAAGATCTCTTAGATTACGAATCTTATATCTGGCGTATGAAAACGAAATAAAACAGCAATCGACAGTGAGGGTCTTTTTAGACGGTCAGGAAGCATTTCAAATCAAATTGTCGATTGTTTCTTCATCAAAGCAAGTCATTAATTTAGAATTACAGACATTCAGGATAGAAAACGTAAGTAGGAACATACCCCTTCTCGATTGCATTACATTGAAGACATAGAACTTGTCTTCAATGAAGACTTAAAGGATAAGAACCTGAATTGACATAATTTTGTTGTTGTTTTGTCGTTGTTTTTGGTAAATATCTCATATCTCATCCCCCACTTCGGAGGAAGAATATAGCTAAAAACTTTAATACACAGAAACTTGGGCGGAACCGATATATCTGAGCTATAACAAAACGTGGAATAATATACTCCATTAGTAATAACAAACATCTTAGGAGTTAAAACAATATCTGTGCAAATTTTAAAAGCTCCGTAATAATAATTGCGACCTGTATTGTGATTCCAACAGGAGGGACCTCTGACAAATATGTTGAGGTGTTGTAAACAAAATGAAAAATTTTATATACTCGTTGAAAAAAATACGCAATTTCTATTGAGAAATATTGGCATTTCCTTATTATTCCCATTAAGGGGGTTCCTTAATACACATCGACAATATAAAGTAACCGAACAGTTCCCCTGGTATTAAGAAAAATTAGATCTGTTTGAGGTTGAGATCAATGGGGTTAGTCCGACTATGCTCATTGCACTAATTTCCTAGCCCGATTATATGGTTAAACAGAGACGTTTCAAAATACACATTACCCTTGGATTTTTGGATTCACAGAATTTTCAATCCTTTCAAATTTCCATTGTTGGAAAAGGGAGAAAGAGAAGAGAATAATGCCCTGGACTCCAATCACCTATGTTAAAAAATCGTGGATCAAAGCACGTGCAGTAATTCTCAAAAATACAAGAAAATCCGGCAATAAATTCGTAATAGAACATCTTCCGAGGTTTCATTGGAATATCAGAGAATCGCATTATCTACTACTTCTATTAGGGGTCAATCCCTGTCCCATTACCTACCAAACATATTTTTCTCGGTATTGAGGACCAAAGAAACTGCAGTCGTTGTACAAATTTCAACAAAAGATCGGCATTAAAAGCTGTAAATAAGGGATCACACAAAGACCATTCTAAAGTCCATTCCGCGATATACCTTCTTTTAATCAGTGTTCTATATGATACGGATATTCTCCATGGATTAAAAGCTGTTATAATATCTTTTCTCAAGTGGACTGTATACAAAAATAAATCTCTGTTTATATACATTTCTCTCTCTAAGGAGCCGAGTCAAGGCTTCTTCGGCCAGGTGCTTAAATTAAACACAATTTAAACTGTGAAAGTATATATATAGTATATATATATATATATATGATCCTTCGAGACCAATGCAATACAGATAATATGACCGACATATAGTTCGTAATTAATGGCGGAGGCCCATGGATTGTGCTTCACTTAAAGGCGATACAGTTTTTTTTCTAATTTTAGAAAGTTTTTCTTTTCTAATAATAATACCTATGGTTAGACCTACGGCCTTTAGTAATGACTTTTCCCTTAAATTATATTTGAACCCCTGCAACAATCCTAGGTAATACTCCCAAGTAAAGAATCACATTTCCTAGTGTATATAAATGGAATTTATTGTTCGCAGTTACCAGGTATGCGGCATGACCTTTGTCATATCATTATTAAACTTTAAATATTATAACTATGGTCTAATTTCAAGGATACCAACAAGAATGACACCAGCAAGTTTATCACAAAACAGTATCAGTGACATCTCACCCTCACCAAACCAAACAAACGAAAAACGTTCATAACAAATTCATGGAACGTCATTGAATGTACCAACCTCCAAAAAGTTACTGCTGGCAGCTGGAGTTAAATTATCCCAACTGTCACAAGTGAACTGGGATGAGGATGATAGGAATTTAAAAAACAAATTCTCTGTTTTTCTCATTACTTTGTCTTGTGTTTTGGGCGAAACTGTCTGTCATTGTTGTTCGGTCGTTCGTTCGTTCGCTGCGATGTTCCAAATTTGTTCGAACGTCCAACTTGGTAGCCACCACGCATTTCATAAGCCTTGGTTTGGTATTACAAAAATTGTTAGCATATTTTATTATGTGTCTTTAATGCTCCTGCTGCCACTGCTGGTTATTGTAAACTTGGTCAGCCTTAACGGTTGCTAACCACGGGATACTTTGCTCGAGGAAGAGAAAGAGACAGAGAGAGAGAGAGAGTCAATTAATGTGTACAACTTGTAAACTTATTAACGCCTATAAGTGTTCAGTTAAGTGTATAATTAAAAGCGGATTTTACTCGCTTTGAAAACTCTACTGTAGGAGGGAACTGGCAGACAGACAGTTTCCCTTTTGTAAATACTTTTACATTCCAACACAAAAATATCTATGAGTGTCAATGTGTGTGTGTGAATACACCAGAAAGTGTATGATGGGTAATTGAATGTGTTGCTGTATAAAGTAATTTTACTGGAAAAAAATTGAACAGTACGGAATTTAAATAATTTTGTTGTCCGGTATGTTGTGGTCGTCCTGTGTTCACAGCCAAATGACAACCAGAAAGTCTGCTAACCATCATCGACCACATTTTATTGTTGGCCTTGTTCTGGCTTTAAACCATTTTCTAAAATTATGCCAATAAAGTTTATTTACCAAAAAAAAAAACTACATGCCTGGATTAAAGTAAAATATTTTACTTTTTATATGAAGTTTATTTTTTTTTTTTTTTTTTTTTTTTTTTAAAATATGCAATCAAACACGAAATAATGATAATAATGAAATTCAGGCTGATCATCGAGATAACCACCATCTTGGAAAAAAATATATAAGAAAAGTGGTCATAACCATTAAAATGTTGAAATACTGGGATTTTAATTTGTCAGGGACCGAAAAAAACAGTTATTTTTGAAAATGCTAACGAAAAATTCTTCATGTTAGAGACATGGGACACCTATAGTGTCATACAGGGTGAGATAAAAAAACTGCAACAAAGTTAAACGCTATAATTTTTACTTTTTTTTTAATTTTATTAAATGAAAGCAAAAAATGTCGGAAATAGCATCACATTTTAGAATAAGTTTAGATTTGTTCGAATTGGTCAACTTTGGTACGAATTATGGCCTTCAAACGGCCAATGAAATGAAACGCTGTCCGAATGTTGCTCTGCGGTATTTTGGTCCATTCCCGGCGAAGCGCTTGCTTGAAGTGATCGACACTTTGGTATTTTTTAGTACCAACCTTGCTTTCCAAAATACTCCAGACACAATAGTCCAACGGATTGGTATCCGGAGATTTTGGTGGCCATTGTGCGCTGGAAATGAAGCGAAAATCATTTTGTATCCGTTCTTAGGTGCGATGGTGCTAAGTCCTGTTGGAATGTCCAAGGACTGCGGCCAAAATCTTTGCGTGCCCAATTCGGCATTTATTCGATTAATACGAGCGATGAGCGACCAGCGGCTGTTATGGCGGCCCACACCATCATCATTACCGGCGGTTGAGTTCTGGTGGCCAACCTAAGGTGCACATTTTCAGCTGACCTCTTTGCCAAGTAAACACGATAATTTTGTTTGTTTACAAACTGCTGAACAACGAATGTTTTCTCATCGGAGAAAACCAAATTCGGCAGTCCTCCACTTTCGGCCAAGCGAAGTAAATCTTTAGCTCTTTTGAGTCTATTTTCTTTCTGTTGTAGTGGAAATTCTTGCACTTTTTGGAATTTCAATGGCTTTACCCCGAACTCATTTTTCAATATTTGCCGAGTGGAATATTTGCAATATGTTCAGCTCACGAGCCATTTTTCGGCCACTGCGACGCGGGTTTGGATCAAGTCGCTTCTTTATTTTCAAACCATTTCTGCTGATGTTGCTGCTTTCTTCCGTCCACTTCCTTGACGTCGGGCTACGCTGCCAGTATAACGGTAGCGAGCGATGGTTCGAGACACAAAAGATTTATTCACATTTAAATACTGGAGTTATCTAACGATAGTCACTTGTGATTTTCCAGCCAAATATAAAGAAATCATACTATGTCGCTTGCTGCCACCATGCTTGAATTTGGGAATGAGATTTTAACGGGATAAGCTCGTATTGTTCTCTCGTCATTTTTTTTACCGTCCATCTGATATTTTTGCATTGAATTTGGACTCATCCGTGAAAACCTTTTTCCAGAAGTTATAATCCTAATTTTGGTAAATTTTTTGGAAAACACAAACCATTTTTTCTTATTACCGCTGTTGAAATTTTTTTTTCCTTACAACATACTTACTTACTCATCTGTCTTGTGGCTAAACATTTCTCAATTTGTTCAGAGATGTTACCGCTCGCAATGTTAGACACATTATGTGCTGTTTGGTGTACAGAGTGTCCATTCTTTTCACTTTTGCATTTCATATGGCCTGTTTCAGCAGTATGTTAAAAAGATCACACGATAAACAGCCACCTTGTCTGAATCCTCGTTCGATATTGAAGAGCTCTGAGAGGTCCTTTCCTACTTTAACTGCTAACCTTGTGCCAATTAAAGTTATCCTGCATAGCTGTTTTTATTTTGCAGGAATGCCGAACGAAGGATTTAAACACCTCTGAGCGGATTGGGCTGTCGAATGCGTCTTTAAAGTCGTCGGCACCCCGCTGCGACAAAAATTTACCTCATCGAAATATTGATTTAAGACCCAAAGTTTAATTGGATAAAATCTCTTTCAGACCTTTTAGAATCGATTCATAAACATTGCACATTCCATAATATTCCACCTCAACATTGCACATCGTAATATTCCATCAAAACTTAAATCATGTGAAAAAGATGAAAAATATCAGTCCATTGCTTCTAAAACCTCCCCAACATATGGTAAATTCCATATGAAGCTAATAGAGCATGCGATTTGATCAATTCATTGATCATCGTAATATTTTAACCAAACCTGCATTAAATGTGAAGATGTGGTCTATAGGTCAACTTCTTCTGGTATCTTCACATAGATGGTCAACTCATTGTTGAAAACATATAATTTCTATAAAACGAATAGTAAATTATGTGTGATCTAACTTGGCAGTCCTTCATTGACCAACTATATACCTACCTATGTCAGGCTGAGGTTATATATATATATATATATTGGCAATGCCGACTGACACTTTTTAACTTGTTCTTATATAAGGGTATTCCTTAACAATTTCCAAATTTAGCATCTTCTGCACTTGTTGCAAGCGAAGAATTACAAATATTAAAAAAATAAAAATAAAATGTCAAATATTTGTAATGGCCCGCCTGAAAAAGTGATTGATTTCATCTGCCCAAAGGATGTGGCCCATTTGTTTCACTTCAAAATACTCGACATTGTTAAAATCCTTTTTAAAAAGGACAAATATTTATAAAAGGCATTTTTATTAACAGTGATTGATGAGCACGAGGGAATTGAATATTCAACTTACACCCTCACACCACTACATGAAATTTGAGAAAAGTATTTTGAATATGTATTTTATAAGCTGGGAGGGACCATCACTGGTTTTGTGGACACAACAAAAATCTAGTTGAAAATAGTTTTCATATTTTATTTATCCCTTCTTAAATATGAGTGGCTATTTTAGATTCCATAAAGATATTAAATTCCAATCAGCACATGTTTTTCTTGTCATTTTTTTTTTTTGGGACAGTTAACAAACACGCCGTAAAAAATATGATATTTCAAGTCAAACGTAAAGAAAATTCACTTAAAGTGGGCATCCCTCTCCGCATAATTTCCTGTCATGTGGAGGCGAGGGAGGGTGGTCGAACAACACAACTAGGGATATAAACTCCAAACAAGCGTCCGAACCCAAGTCAACGTTTCTATTTACAAACACTCAATAATACGGTTAACTTGCTTTCCTTCCTTCTTCGTATAACCAGCTTCAGTGCGGAAAACAGGATGTTAGTCCTTTGGCTTAACACCCAATAAGATTAACAACTACAATGATATAAAAAAGAAGAAAGACAGACGGACATGCGGCAACACCGAAAACGGTAACGTATGACGACAAGCGAAACAACATTGTAAAGCAACACACACACCAAAAAAGGCTTTTCTCGGAACAGGATGAACAAAAAAACGAAAAAGGAAACAAGTGCTCAATAATTCCGCACGAATACTTCCACAACTTAAAAGCCAACAAGTCAATGAAATGTAAATGGAAGAAAGGCAAAGAAGACGAATTCCCAAAAGGATATTAGTTATATTGGAGGGGTAGGAGTTGGTTGGGAACGGGACTTATGAAGGTGGGAAATATAAAAAAGGAAACACTTGATTTTCTTGTTGATTTGCAACATGTGTGCGATACTCTCTTTTTTGTATACATTCGTATAGCATGTTAAATGTTTGGCTAGTTGTGGGGAGTTATGGACAAATTGAGAGATAAATATTTCCTGTTTGAAGGAGGGAGTGAGGATTAAGAATCTTCTTTGCTGTTTTTGGGGCAACATATGTGTAAGCCATTATAAATCCTTTTAAAAGGTTCATAAAATAGTGGGCTTTGGCAAGAAGGACAGGATATTTTGTTGAAGTCAGGCAGCATCAAAACATGTGAGAATGTTGAAAATGTCATATATGTATTTGTATACAACAATACATTTCTATTATTTATATACATATATTTAGTGTAAGATGACCACATTATTAAGTTTGTGTGTATGTACAAAGATTGCATGCTATTTGAATCTTGGTTATGGATACTACGTTCTTCTTTTGGTTCCAAATCATTTCAGTAATTAATTTAAGCAATCGTCTTTAAAGTAATTATCGTCCATGGTCTGTGAACAATTCCAAAAATCCTTGACTCTCCTCACTTCCACAAATAAATTTGTTGTAATATTACACTGTAGTTATTGTCTAGTCAGTATGTACTTGAAACTTTTAATCACTTGTCAAAAACAGTCAATTTTTTTTATTCAATATTTTTTTTTTAATTTTCAAACAATTTATGAAATTTTTAGATTATTGTGGACTGACTAAAAAATTTTTATTAATGAAAAATGTGTTGAAATTGCAACTGTTGTTGAAGTTTTTAAAAACAATTGATTTTGATTGCTCCGCAATGCCGACAACTCATTAACATTGATTCTAAATTCAACGAAATAATGTGGATTATTTTTATACATTGAGTTCCTTTCACAAAAAGTTTTAGAGGCGAAAAAAATTACAGGAGACGGGGTATACTACATAACTTCAATTTTTTTACGTATAATCAAAAAAAATGAAATATTCTAAACCAATTGAGATATGTTACTGAAATTTTGCACAAATTCTGTCTATACTTATGGGAATTCGTGCACCGAATGTTGATTAGATATGATGATAATTTACTAATGGTACCTCCGATTTTCGGTATTTTAAGGATATTTTATAGGTTTTCAGCCGAATTGGCTGTAGTTTGATTTGAGATTCTCACTGGCTACCAAATCTGCCTGCCAAAATTATTATTATTGGTCGAGCTTTTAGGATAGTCCACCGAAATTCGGTATATTCATGAATTTGTACATATGGGCAATATTGCCAATTTTTATACCCTTCACCATAGTATGGAGGGTATATTAATTTTGTCACTCCGTTTGTAACACATCGAAATATTCATTTCCGACCCTATAAAGTATATATATTCTTGATCACGATAAAATTCTAAGACGTCCGTCTGTTGTAATCACGCTATCTTCTGAAGGAATTGAGATAGGGTGCTGAAAGTTGTCTTTTGTCTGCAGGCAGGTCAAGTTCGAAGATGGGATATCTCGGTCCACGTTTAGGCATAGCTCCACCAAATTTTCTGTATTTTGAGGTTCTTGGGCGTGTTTTTTAACCGAATTCGTTGAAATTTGGTACTTAGAGTTCTTATTGGGTAGCAAATCTCCCTACTAAAATTATAAATATAGGTCAATTTTTTCTGGTACCCCCCATATAACGGCGCCCCTCAATTTTCGGCATTTTGGGGTTTTTGAACGCGTTTTTCAACCAAATTCGCTGAAATTTGCTACATTGGGTTATAAATATAGGCCCATTTTTTCGGGTAGCCCCCATATAAGGGTACCCCCAATTTTGGATATTATGGGGTTCTTGAGCGCGTGTTTCAACCGAATTCGCTGCAATTTGGTATTTTGTAGTCGTATATGGTAACAAATCTCCCTACTAAAAATTATTAATATTCGTCCTCCTTTTTTTATATTAAAATAGTTATCTGATTTGTTCTGCGTTTTGGGTTTGGTTCTAAGACTCTGTTGTAATCATTTCACCTGCGGAGTATAGAACGTGAGGTTCGATAATGTACTATATATGAACTATAGCCCGGATTTAGGCCTAGGCCTAGCACCTGTGTGGGAGGTACCAGAAGGAGTGAATCGATATTTCCCATCTTCGAACATGAACAAAGTTTGGAATAAATAATAATATAGGCAAAGTTTGGATGAAATCAAAATTTTCTGAAATGGATTTGGTCCAAAAAAACGTTAGGTCTAGAACCAATATTTTGACGAGGCACAATTTCACTGTATCAAAGTGTATACACCCTCATTAGCCAAAAGGCTGAGGATATAAATATTCATTAAAAATTGCTGAAATTATGGTTTACATAATCAGTTTGTAGAAAGGTCACTTTTTGGTATGTTCCCTTTATTTTAATTTCAAGTACCTGACAGTATATCTATGGTGGAGGGTATCCAAAGTTCGGCCCGGCCGAACTTAACGCTTTTTCACTTGTTTAATATTCCATTTTCAAAAAATCAGCTTTTTTGTTTTTGTGGATCATCAATGATTTTTGGTACACATATAGGCAAAAAATGTTCTGACTCAGAAACCGTTCGCTATCAAATTTTTGGTTGATGCGCGCAAAAGTTATTGAGGTTTTAATTTTGGGCATAACAAAAAAATCTTAGGTTTACGCCGTTTATTATATTGACCAA